GTGTAGTAATATTGCGTATTTATGCGCCAGATGCTCCAAGAAAGTTCAAAATACCGGGAGGTCCTTATTTTGTACCTATAGTTGGTTCTTTATTTGACATAGTATTATTAGCTTCGGCTCATAAAGCAGCCATTGAAAGATTATTTATTTGGATGGCTATCGGATTAGTTATTTACTTTGTATATGGAAGAAGGAATTCTACAGCTAATAATAAAAATGAACCGAAGGTTGAAAAGCGAGAGGCAATTAAAAACAGCGAGGGAGTCATTGAGATGATAAATGTTGTAGATAAGTAAATAAGATCATGATTTTAATAATTTACGTTATAGTAATTATTTTATTTTTTTTTATATTACTTTATATATTACCTAAATATTTTATAATCTGTCAATCAATAAAGAACGTCTTAATCATAAAAATGAATTAATTCATTAAAATAATTATATACAAATAATTTCTTCCAAAGTATTCGATAAAAATAACGGAGGATTTACATAATGATATTTGTATTGAACGTTGAAAATTTACTTGGCAACGGGTTCAAATATTTTTTTTAAATCCTGGGTCGAGTTTAGGTTGTCATATTATTAAGTCCAGGGCCGGGCCGTACTTCAAGATTTGTTGCTTACGCGGGCCTCTACTTTCTCAATGTATCTTTTTTTTTTTTCTCTGTAATCAATTATAAAGAAAATCCAACATTCTCATTTGCAGTTGATCTTTTTATAAAATTCAGGAGTTATTATTTCCCAATTCTGATTAAGGCTAAAGTCAAATCATTTTTTGGGAGGGTAATTAAACTTTCGGTATTCCCTATTCAAGGTTACTGTAAGGAGATCATTGAAATTCTACCTTAGACTATTTCTTTTACGTGTTAATATGGATTATGTTGTTCTGCAATCATTAATTGTTAAAATTAGCTTTCTCCCCTTGTTCGCCCGTGATACTACATATCGATATTTTACTGGAAGTACTATCGGAGTTGAATTTTCGGGAAAAGATCAAATATTTCGTAATACCTTTGAATTTTATTTAACATTCAAACAAGTTAAATTTTATTTTATTTTATTTTTAAAATTGATATAATTTACTAATAAATTTATAACGATTAATGTTTTAACTATTCATGGTTAAAAAAGCCTAGTTAAAATCATCTTGAAAACATAAATATCGGTTATTGTTATTATTAGGATGATATTTGTTAATAGATGCATATTATAATTTCGAATTTGTTGCACTAATCCATGTCGTAAGTTTATAGATAAATTTGGTGTTTTATATTTTCGTACTGCAACAATTTTTCATAATAACGAAATTATTAAGCCTTTCTTTCGTTGCCTTTTTCTTATTTAGTTATTTTGATAAAATAAAATTGTTTTTTAAATTTCTATACTTTAGATGTTTTAGATGTTAAATGTGGATTATTTAGAAGCTTATGGCAATATTAAATTGTGTAAATTTTTAGAGTGAAGGAAAAAAAAAAAAATGATTACCAAGAAAATTGATTTTATTGTCGGTATCCTTTTTTATCACGGGCTTTAGTAAATTAGTTACCCGCGGTAAATAACTATAACATATTATAAGTACATTTCGGAAAAAAAAAAATTTTTAAAATTAAAAACAAAAAGTATGTTATTTAGTCGCTTAGCTTAGCTGATTTGTGTCATATATGTTTTCCGCTTGAAAATAGAATATTCGAATATTTGTAAAAAACATTCCAAATTACATCGAATATCGAAATATCGAAATTCATTTTGGATATCGATTATTTATTTTTTTCTTGAAATAATAAAAAAAGAATTGATCGATGAAATACGAAGTACATAAAAAAAATAAATAAATAAATAAATCGATCGATGAATACGAAAGTGCGTATGTAATAAAAAATTTAAAAAAAGTAATTAAAAAGAAAATAAAAATAAATAAAAAAAAAATAATAATAAAAAAATAAAATATAAAAAAATAAAACTAAAGCTTACCTAATCAAAATATCAATTTTCGGATCCGAATTAAATGACTTTTTGATATTCGAAATTATTTAAAAAAAACTCAAATATTTGAAATGCAATTTGTATTTCAAACGGAAACCCTAGTGTCATAAATTGTTGTACGAACCATGATGATTTCTTAGACGACAGCACTTAAACCTGAATCTCAAAAAGCTTTTGATCCCTAGTACTTCCCTTCACGAGATATTTCATACACGAATAATTTGTATGAAATCAAACGCATGAAAGTCATGTAAACATACTATACTTTATCACGCGCATTTTAATTCGCATTGGTGAATTCGGCCAACATTAGTTTAAACGAACATAAAATTTACGAATCGTTGCTAAAATGTACAAGTTTCCGAAGGTTAAGTAATGATTCTGGGTGGCAGATAGATTAATTAATATATGTAGCTTAAATTAAAATAAATTTTGTTAAGAAGTCTCTTACTAAATTTAACGTATTTTTAACTCCCCATAACTCTGAATACTTCTCGTTATTTTCTTTCCAAATTATGCGAAATATTTCCTATTCTATGAATAGAATTTTTTTTTAAAAAAAAATATTCATTATGATTTTCAAAAAAAAGCGTTCTGTCACGTTTTAATATATCATTTTACTTATAATTTGTTTAAATTGCTAATTTAGAAACAAAAGTTATCAAATTCTAATGATTTAAATTTTTTATCAATACTACCCAATTTCATAATTAAAAAATCTGAAATATACAGTCACCACTGGTTATACCGAACCTGTTTGTACCGAAAACTCGTTATATCGAACCAAAATCTTCAGAACAAATTTTTTATAATTAATTACACTGGATATAACGAACTTCTATAATAAAATGCTATATACCGTATCCGAATACGATTTAACCGGTCCATACATATTTTTATATAGCGAACAATCATGTGACCAAATGGTAATTTATAATACTGGCCAGAATTATTATTTGACATTAAATAAAAATGGTTAAAAAAGTTTTGTACAAGTACAAAGTCAAAAAAAGGAAATTTATGTTACATAAATTAAAATTCTGGCCGGCGCTACATATTTGACCCGAATTATTAATACTAAATATAACGAACTCACTCTATACCAAACCAAATCTTCTGGAACGGCTGGTTCGTTATATCCAGTGGCGATTGTATATATGATTTAATTAGTTCATCTGCCCCCCACGATATAAATATTTTATTTGTCGTCACAAGTTAAGCACGCAACCATTGATCAGCCAAAATTAAAGAGCTAAATGTGTATTTATTTTGACCGAAATTAAAAAATGATCATTTATAAATAACTTCCACATAAGGTTAACGCGCGACAAAGTGAATTTGATATTAGCTGTATTATCAAAGGTTTGATCTGTTCCCTAAAGCTTTACAACATAGTAAGTAAATTATACATACATAAAATTAATTTTTACAAACATCTTTGTATAAAAATTATGTTTATTTGGATATTGATATATTATTATATTTTGTTAAATGAAATAAATCATCATGATAAATTTAAAGTTGTTGAAATGATGAGGAAATTTAATAATACAAACTTTGGGATAAAAATAAAATCAATGAAACAATAGATAATGAAATAATGAAATGAAATAATAAAATAATGATAATATTATTTTAAGAGATTCTAATCTTTCTCTTTGGTTTTTCACTACTTTTCGGTACCCTAATTTTCAAAACACCGTCTTCTAAATTCGCGTTGAAATCTACATCATTTCTAATATTGGTTGGTAATTGAATTGATCTGGAAAATTGACCATAACGACGTTCTTGTATATGAAGTTTTTCGTAGGTCGCTTGATTTCCATTAGCTTGCGGTGGTGGTTGAGATTTTTTTAATCGATGGAGTTCTTGATATTCGCCTTGTTGACCGTTTTGATTATGTTGGTTCGTTGGAAAATCGGTCGCTTGTTGATTTGATTGATAATCGGTTGGCTGTTGATTTGATTGAGATGGATATTCGTTTGACTGTTGCTGGAGTGGTTGTTGATTTGATTGATTTTCAGTTGGCCTTTGCTGATGTGATTGTTGAGTTTGCTGGTATTGATCAATTTGTTGTTGATTTGATTGGTAACGGGGATCGGTTTTTTGTTGTTTAACATTTATCTCTTGTGGAGCAACGGCAATTGTTTCGCGTTTGTGATCTCCAGAGATAACCAATACTGAATCATGAAATTCGATATCGACATCCTCTTTTTTGACCCCCTAACAAAAAAAAAAAAAAATTTTTATCGGTAACCCGAAAAAAAAAAAAATTTATTAATTTTTTCTTTAAAAAAACTCACCGGAACGTCGGCGATGATCGTATATTCTCTCTCATTTTCTGTTACATCAATAGCTGGGACCCAAACGGATTTGCTATCCCCACCACCTGTACCACGAAATTTTGTTCTAGCATCACCTAGGAAATCATCAATAAATCTCGTTATCTTATTTTCGAATCGATTGTCCGATTCCCAATGTCTGTCTCTGTGTCCCGTCATTTTCTGCTTTCTTGGATTTATTCTTGGATTTGAATTTATAAAAAATAACCTTTTTCTTATTTTTTTTTTCTTTTCGATTTACTTTATTGGTAGATGAATCTCTGTATTTATACACATTCGTTTTTACTGCGATAATTTCCAAGACATTATTTCGATAACGTCAACAATTTAGCCAGAGCGTAATTAGCGTAATTAGCGTAATTCGCGTAATTATTGTGTCATACATTCGTAACCGGGATCGACATGGCGCCTAAATTTTATCTTTAATCGTCTTAGTGTAGTGAAAATTACCAATTAGATGGCCAATTAAAATTAAAATGACGCGCCCAACGTCTTGCGAAATGATGACTTCATAACAACAGATGACAATTCAAATTTAAGCGAAGTTTACAGAAATGATTATTTTTTTTAATGGTGAATATTAAAATATTAGAATAAAATAAATTATAATAAATGATAATTTTGGGTATGGTTATGAAATGATGATGATTTGATTATAGCTATAAAATATATACAGTTTTTGCTTTTTTTTTTTTTTTTTTTTTTGAAATTTTTGTTTTTTCCGTAAGTATTGCTAAATTTGTCTAGGGTAACAACCGTTCCGGATCAAAAGTATTGTCGATGTTTTCGATCCATTTCATTATATCGCTTCGTTTTATCGTCACGTATTTATTTTGAACTATAAAAAAAAAAAAAAAAAAATGTTTAATTACAAGTTTTTTTTCAAAAAAAAAAAAAAAAAAATTTCTCAAATATAAGATGTTATTCACCTTTTCGTTCGAAATCTGTATTAAGTTCAATGTCTGTAATGAAATGATTATAATGGAATGTTAAGGCATATTCATGATTATCAAATGTCAATCATTAAGGTTCATCTTGTAATTTACCTTCATCACTTTCCACATTCTCAAAATTTGATTCACTATCATGCTCAAAATCTTCATCGCCCAAATCGGTGGTATTAATTCGTTGACTCTTATAAATATCGTATATGCTTAAAGGATATTTCAATCGAATCAGGTTACCACGCCTACTAATATCCTCACTTATCCAATTTCCAATAATATCAACCAATTGAGAAGCGAGTGGCCTGCTAAACTCATCATCATCCCAACATTTTTTCATCAATTCCTCAAAACACCTTGGCATGTCCTTGGAATTATAAGCGGGTCTAAAACCATCGCAGATATCAAATATCAACTCATTCAATTTGTCAAATGGAACGTTGATAAACGGTGGTAAACCGGTCGAGACCTCATACATCAACATTGCAAAGAAATAAATGTCGGAATATTTTGTGTAAATACGACCGTGAAAGATTTCGGAAGGCGTATATTGTATCACGCCAAATGTATCGATTCGTGAGTTACATAAATCATATGATTTATCAGCTGGACCCGACATCCCTAAATCCGAAATGATTGCCGATAAATCTCCGTTATCTTCCTTTTTCACAAAGATGTTACCGGAATGAAGATTATTATGGCTTAATCCTGATGAGTGAATTTTATGTAACCCGGTGGCGATTGAATGAAGTAATTTGAGTTTTTGTGACCATGAAAGCGAAGTGAAATTATCATTTATGAAATTCCTCAAGTTTCCTCGTTCGAATTTCATTACCACCATGTAATCTTTTGTTATGGGATCTTGCGTCAACCCATATATCGGCATAATTTCTTTATGTTGTTGATAAGAACAATTAAGTAGCGAAACTTCGAGCTTAAAAGTAAAGGATGAAAAAAAAAAAAGATGAAAGAGTTATTAGTGATTACTGTGCGCCTTGACCTGCGACAAACCACAAGGTGGTGGGATGATTACCTCATACAAGAAATCTTTAGAAATGTTTTGAGAATTATATAATCGTTTTAATGCAACTTTGACTTCATCGCCACGATTCCAATCTTCACTTGATTGATTCCAATTCATAATCGGACCAGATGTCCAAGTAGCGGAATATGTCGTGCTGAAACTACTTTTGGAGATGTATTTGACATCATGTAAATCATCGTACGGTATCCACTCTACAAAGGCTCGCCTACTAGAGGTCTGTGTTGATTTTATCAATTTATCAATGTCATCATTCCCACTCGTCCATCTATCAAAGTTCTTTTGAAAATGCGAAGAAGAACATGAGGAGCAATATCCCTTTGATGAATTTGGTCTATTGCACTCCTCGCAAAGACCGAAATCATCTTCCTTAACGGGTACCGGTGGTGACCTGAGGCTCAAGGATAAAGTTGTGGGTTGAGGTGTCCTTTTGTTTAGATGTAAAGATATCGGAATAGATCGATACCTGGTTGGAGGATTTAAATGAAGTGATTTAAAAGTTATGGTGGTCGTTTCCGTTGTCATTTTGTAAAAGCAAAATAAAAAAATAAATGAAAAATATGAAAAAAATAAAATTATGGGAAATTGAAAATTTGAAAAAAATTTTTATCGGCAATTTTACCGATGTAAATTATGCGGTATTTATACAAAAAAATTTTTCATCTAATTCAACGCCATAATTAGGTGGTAGATGACCCTTAAATGCTTCATGAATTTTATTTGATCACGAGTTAGCCTCACCAAAAAAAGCAAATCAAAGTTTCTTTTTGTTTTCCAATTTATTTTTTTTTTTTTGATCTAGATGTTCTCCTTTCATGTACCTTAAAGGGTCTTTACGATGGTCTATCACATCTACATCCGGTAATAGGAAGAGGAAAAAAAGGTGTTTTTTTTTTTTTTTTTTGCAATACGCCGATTAAAGAGACAATGAATGTTACAATGATTGATAAAGGTGTTTGTCTATCAAAGCACCAGCAAAACAACAGAAAAGTAACGGGGGAAAATCCACCATTTGCACCTACAGCATTTACAGTATAGGTACACATTTCACGATCATTTCGTAAGCAAAACATTTTTTTTTTGAATATTCCATTAAAATCATATGATAAAAATGGTCACAAACAAATAAATGGGCAATATTTTGATCTTGTGCTCACATCATAGCACAAATTTAGGGGGAGTTGTGTAGAATACATCATCTACTACCAAAAAAAAAAAATCTACCCCAATCTTTTTTAATATTGGCGCAAAAATAAACAATATAAGAGGCACGAGCAAAATATAAAAAAAAATTTACTAGTATAATCCAAAAATTTTTTTATTTGTTGATCATCAATATAGAGGGAAAAGGTTAAGAATAGGGTAAAGCAGATAAGCGATTGGTGCAGAGAAATCTTTGAGACTGTGCATACTAAAACACAGGTGAAACAGAAGCCATAAGGAAAATCTGATAAATCCTTTTTTTCAATATATTCCTCTCAGGATCCTTCTTGCCCAATAAAAGAATTTGACCAAAATGTAATATCAACGTCGATTCTAAATAAGTCCGCTTAAAGATTCGGCAAATGTCATAATATAATTAATTGTCATGGTCACCATCTTTTTAATACATAAACAAGAGATGATTGAATGCTAAGCTTTAATTTGTAAAATCAGAAGGTTAACATTTATGAGAAGAATAAAATGATCTCTTGAAAAGGAAAGGTACTCCCAAATTAATCCAATTAAAAATACGGAATTCCCCAACAATTGAAATTTTTATTTAAAAAAATAGGATAAAAAACAAGGATCTTTTTTTTTTTTAAAAAAAAAAAAGGTATCATTGGGTGAGAATTTTTTTTTCAAAGTTATAAGTACTTCCAAATGATACAAATGAAAACTTTAAATTTTGTTTTAATTTGGTAAATTCATTTTATTGGCAGTAATCATCAATAGATACTTTTTTATTCTTATTTTTAACTTTATTATTTGCTGCGGAGAAGTGTGACAATAAATTGTTGATTTCATCCGCGTATGTTTTTACCATAATCAACTCTCATAATTGAGTGATAGTCCACAATTTGATTCGAAGAAAAAAGAATTCTATCGGGAACGAAATAACATACTTTAGTGTTCCAAAATAAGTCTTATTATTATTTACCTCCCTTTCGGCAAATACTATGACCATAGCTACTCATATTTCACAAAGACGAAAGTGGCCGATCATCCCCTTGTGTCTGACTTGAAAATAAAGAAACTTATCATACATATGTCCTTGCATAAATTGGTATGCCTTTTCCAGCAAAATATTAAAATTAAATTTAATGCATTAATGCAACATAAATTGTTTTAAATTCGCAGTGCGAAATCAATTGTAATCACATGACCTTGTCAGATTCGTAAAAAAAAAGCTTGGAAAAACACTTTGCTATCTAAAAATAATGAGAATTATGTCGTGCTGCCGATAAGGTTATGTGCATGGAAGTGGGTAGATAAATGTGGGGGTTCAGAATTCAGTCATACATTAATTTATGTATTGTAAATTTTTATTTCCTTTCCTTTACGCATTTTGCAGCAATTTTAAGTTTCGGTATTACCAAAAAAAAAAAGAAAAGAAAAGAAAATTATCCCACAGATGTCGAATACAAAAGAATAACGCTTTACCCACATAATGTTGTTTTTGATGCGTGCTACAACTTTAAGTCGTAACATGTTACCGTGTATCAATTTTTAATTTTTATGTTAAAAAATAATTTGTGAATTGACCAATGGGAATGAAAAAATTGAAAATTGATAAATATAATCCTAATTATGATTGTAAACAAAAGCTTCTTGCTTTTTTTTAAAAAAAAAAAAAAAGTTTATGTAATACAAAATCCCTTAATATGAACTCTTTTTACGAATTTGCTTTGATCACATTAGTACATAAAAAAGGATACTTGCGGATATAAGTTTTGATATTTTGGTAATATTCTTATATAATTTTGTTCAGCTTTGACGTAAATTATTTAATAAAACCTGTTTGCACCAAATTTGTAGCATTTCAAAACTCAAGGGGACCTCTCACACAATATAAACATGGTGTAACTTTGAGGAATTTGCAGAGAAGCAAAGTAACAACAATAGTGATAAGATCAAAAGGTCTATGACAATCTGAAGTCAAATTTTATATATAATTTTATCAAGTTTACTTTAATACTTGAAGTTATTTTGACAATTTTAATATATATAATTACTGATTTATCAGGTGTGAAGTTTTAAATAAGTGATGAATTGGAATTTATTGTATGTTAGAGTTACAGAGTAGAGTGTATGAACACAGATAAGATAAAAGTTATAGAGTATAGGAAATATATTAAGTAGAATATGTTATTTAAAATAGAAGTTAAGTATAGCATATTAATTTGTTTTATACTCAACAGTATGTATATTAATTCATGAAATGTGTATTGTATAATTTCTTAATATACTTAATTTTAAAAGTTATTGATTTATTAAATAAAAAGCATTATAGTTAAAATATGAAAAAAATATTTTATTATGATAAATCATTTTTGCATTTATATGAATAAAATATAATATATATAGAAGGGTATAAAAAGTATTAACTGGTTTAATTTTATTATAAAATAACTAAAATTTAACACTTTAATTTTTTTTATTTTGTTAAATTACAGGTCAATATTTCATTAAACCTCTATTTGCAGTAATAATAATTTGAACCTAACATGATATTTGATCAAATTATAATAATAATTTACAGGCACTATATCCTATTACTTCTTGACTTACTGCTCTATTTATGTAATGCTGATAGTTGTAAATCATATTGATAAATTTTAACCTTAATTTATAATCAAATATTTTCTATAGAGTTAATATTAGACTTTAAGAAACAATTCAATATTTAAGGATTTGATAAAAAAATATGTGATTTTTGTAATATGAAAAGATGTATTATCTTCTTGAAATTTTTTTTTGCATAGGATTTAATTAGTAATTAATTAAAATTTTATAATGTATATTTTCAATTATGTAACAATCAAAAAATTTAGAGAACCTATATTAACTTAAGAGAAACATTTTAAAATATGTGATTAAAATTCTTTTGAACTACAATTGTAATGCAGGTTTATAAAATTCTTCAAAGAGTTTATGTTATATTTATCTAAACTGAAAATTTTAAATAGTATGTAAATAGACTTATCTGATTATACTAATTTTTTTAAAATTATCTACAGTTTAAATTTTATAAGTATATATTTAAAATAACTGTTTTTTTTATTTCTTTCAAAAATTAATTAATAAACTAAATAAAGAATATATGAATAAAGACTTTATTTAACTAATTTATTACAAATAATTTATTTGAGAATATTTTTATTTATTTTATTCATAATATATCTAATTTTGAAAAGAAATATGTATTAACAATAAAAATAAAAAATAAAATTATATCATATTTAATAATATATATGTTTTGCATCAAGTGTCGATTTGCGTCAGATGCAGCTAACGCACGTCAGGTGTCGATCGATACTTGACGTGCGTCAGTTAATATTTGACAACTGAGATGCGTTGGCTGTCATCTGACGCAAGTCAGCTGTTATCTAACACAATTTTTTTAATTACAATTGGTCCTTTTTAAGTAACACAAAATAAAAAAATTTTTTTTTTGTGAAATTCGGACGATTCGCATTTTATTAATCAAATAAATTTTACCGAAGTACATTTTCTTTTTATTTT